AGGTTGCAGTTCAAGCTTACCAGTCGCTCCTTGGAAGCCCTATAGAAGGTTATCAACAACAATGTGTAAAACTAGTTATTCATTCACATAGATCGTAATATAACCAGGAGCATCAGACCAGAGAGGGAAGGGGGAACAATCAGCAGCACTAATGCCACCCAAGTGGTTTCAGCGTGTATGTGGAGCAGCCCATGAGTTAAAGTACTGGCATTTCTGAATTTGTATTCAGAGGAAGGACTTAGTTTGACCATGGGTGGAGTGGAGAATATTAGAATTAGCAGGGGTGGCATTGTGGAGATGTAAAGGTGATATAACTTAGATGGTACTTTCATTCCATATCCTTCTTCCGGCTCAGCTATACTTCCCAGCAGTTCTAGACTACAGCGTTAGAAATAATAAGTCCTTGTTTTACAGAACCTGCTTTCACAGAGAGTTCCTAGCAGAGTCTGGTACAGAGAGGAGGGTGAGGAACTATTGCTGCCCAAGGGACTATCAGAAACTATGCATGACTTTGTGTGTGAGATCTACTTCCCCTTCCCTAGGGGTTTTGAGAGGCAATGAATAATTAAAGAATGGTTCTCAACAGCCCATGCAAGTAAACAAAGAGGAAATGTCATGTCTTAGAAGTTTAATCAACAAAGATCTTAAATAGAGAAGACTGTATATTGCAATTATAGGAAAAGCCCTCTTTAATTTTCCCTTGATCTTTGATATTGCACTTTAGTAGAGGAGTTTAAGACATTTTGCTGAAAAATCATTCTTATTGGCTGGACTGGTGTCTTGTTAAATTTCCCACCTGGTGCAAACACAGATTTTGCTACATTATAATATCAAATTCTTGGAATCATCAACTTTAAAATAGAGCTAGTATTTTTCTCATAAGGGTATTGTGAGGGAAAAAATGAGATAGTTTATTTTAAGGGAAACATGAATATTGCTCAAGATGTGTCAAGGTGTGGTGCTGTGGGATAAACACTGGACTGCAAGGTTGGCAGTGGTTCAAACTCACCAACTGCTCCTTGGAAGCCCTATACTTGACTCTATGGCATTTAAAAACAACAAGGACTTGAGTGCAAGTGGTTTATTTTTAAGGCAAATCCAGTCATAGGAAGGTGGGGAAGTGAGACCAAGAAGAGGACACTAATACAGATGCTTCGATGAGTTGGTTACCTTTGCAGGTGGGGCTCAATCCTTCTGTAGACTTCTGGAAGACAACGTGGAAGATGTCTCAGAGTTGCCCAACTCTGGAATGCCTAAGAGGATCTGGACCCCGGACTGGACTCAATAGTAGACTGCTTGAGTGAGAGATGCTATAAAGATGAACATGACAGAATTCAGAACCAGTAAGATTAAAATTCCATTTTTAAGTATGAGCTCAAGTGATTACTCAAATTCAAGATGGGAGAGATTTAGCTTGCTTGGTAGCAGTGACTTTAAAATAATCCAAAAATTTTAGTTGATTCTAAACTTAAAATAAGGCAAGAGTATTACATAGTTCCTAAAAAAGCTAACACAGGATTGGGCTGTGTTAATAAGAAGTACAGGCACCAGGAGGATACTTTTTTTTTTCTTTTTTCTGGGCGTAAGGACAAGCTGGGAAGAAGGAAAACAAAACAGCAATTAGAGGGAGAGTCATTAAAATAAATATTTAAGAATGGGAAATATTTGAATATGTTTATAAGCTGAGGGGAAGGGTTAGTTAGAGAGGGAGGTGAGGGAAGAGCACTGGAGAGTCAGGATAATTAATGGCACAAGAGTGTGGTGAAATGGGGAGGAGTTGAATTTGAATTAGACAGGGATGCCTCATCCTGGGAGAGGCTGGAGTGACTGTAAATACACAGATATGTTTGGGAAGGCATTCAGGCACTTGGGAAGACGATAAGCTAATGTTTTCAATTTGCTTGATGAAATAATTCTCCATTGGGACAGTCTCTTAGCTGTTTCTGATAGGAGTATGCATGACAGGAGCGAGATTAAAGTGTTAGGGAGGCCAGAGGGAGCTGGAAAGAAAGTCCTAGACAGAACAGAGTTCTGGATCTTTGAAGAGGTGGTGGTTCCAACTCATGGTGACCCTATACTGGGTTTCCAAGGCTGTAAATCTTTATGGGAGCAGAATGCCTCATCTTTTCTCCTGCGGAACAGCTGGTAGTTTTGAACTGCTGACTTTGAGGTTAGCAGCCTGCTTTGTAACCACTTACACTAAGTCCATTGCATCTGTGCTTGCTCTTTCCCTCTCACTGAGTACTTCTTTGCTAGGGCTGCCTCAGTGTTGGAGGAAACAGCTGGGTTTAAGAATCATAGCTTTAAAAACAACAACAAAAATAACCTCAAGTGAAATATTTAAATTTATTTAGAAAAGAAGAAAGTCTCTGAGGGACAAGAATTTTTAATAACTTTTCTAAAACACATAATCTTCCTGCTAAATTTGCTGATTTTGGTAGAATTCTTAAGTGATAGGAGAATTTACACAAAGGTTACTAACCATTTGCCATCAAGTAGACTGACTCATGGTGACCGTGTGTGTGTGTCAGTAGAACTGTGCTCCACAGGGTTTTCCATGACTGACTTTTCAGTAGTAGGTTGACAGCTCTTTTGTCCCAGGGTACACTATTGAACCTCCTATCTTTTGGCATAGAAACTCATTTGCATCCCCCAGGGACTCCTGTACTTAGTTAGTAGGTACCATTGAGTCAGTTCTGACTCAGGTGGTCCTATGTAAAACAGAATGAAACACTACCCAGGGTCATCATTGCTGTTTGAGCCTAGCTCTGTAGCCACTGTATCAAGCCATCTCATTAAGGGTCTTCCCCTTTTTTGTTTACACTTTACTTTACCAAGCATGATGTCCCTCCTTATACAAAATACTTGTAAAATACTGACATGCAGATGAATTTCACTGATATAAATATCAGTGTTTAAAATTAAGGTTAATGATATCTCAAAAATAAAACAAAAGATTTGTGATAGATATGCTTACAACAATAATAACAAATAGTGCTGCTAAGGAGCTCTGGTAGCTTAGTGGTTACAAATCAGGCTGCGAACTGCAAGATCAGCAGTTTGAAACTACCAGCTGTTCCAGGAGAGAAAGATGAGGCTTTCTGCTCCTGTAAAGATGTACAGCCTTGGAAACCCTGTACAGGGTCACTATGAGTCGGAACCGACCCCACAGCACATAACAATAATAATGTTTTAGTATTTCTGTTCTACTGCCTAGTTCATTGCATAATTGCCTGAGGTCTTAAAAGTTTGCAAGCAGTCATCTCAGTCACAACAATTAGTCTCTATTTGCTTGAAGCAACAAAGGAGGAAGTCAGGAGTAGGAAGAGGATATAGACTGTGCGGCTAATTCCTTCCAAGAACAACTGCCTCCTTTGTCAGGAGACAAGAACTGGATGATGCCCTGCAACCATACTAAACCTTTTGATCAAAGATACTATAGAATAATCCTGATCATAAAGGGATAAATGCAGATCATTATTTCAAATTCTGGACTTTCGGGAGCCATTAGGTTTGTTTAAAACCCTGATACTATTGCCCTGGGATAATATTTAAACCTTAAACCAAAAATAAATCCAGAAGTATTCTTAAAACCAAACAATTGGTAAACAGTGTGTGCCTTGAACATGCACTTTTACAATATGTATGGAATCAAAGTGACAAACAGCAATTCAAAAGATGAGCTAGGAACCTTAGGGCAGTGAGTTTATGTTAATGGGGGAGGAATAATTCAGAATGTAATTCTATATCAATGAGTTGTAGAAAGGACTGAATTGGTGTGCATATTCTCAACAACAAAGTATTACAGGCTTCTGAGTGCAGGAAGGATGAGAATTCATTCACCATTCCACAAGACGCCCTGAGTGCCAGTGGAGGGCATTAGGCCTTCCTCTGCCTTCACGACTTTACAGAGAAAACACTACAATAATCGTTCTTTCTACAAGGGCGAGGAAAGCAATGTGGGAGAAACATAAAATGCAGTAAGGGGATTGAAAAAGCCAGGTCTTCAGTGAGAAGAGGAAATGGACTTCCCCAGCACTTTAATAGATATCATCAGACAGTTAAAGGATCAGGGATCAAGGTTCTTTGGTCCACCTGCCTTTGGGCCCCGCACTCCTCCCTGAGTTCCACGTCGATGAGGAGTCTAAGGCCGAGCGACGCCTAACCACCTCCGCGAGAGGGCGCGCGCTAGAGCCAGCCCACGGAAGTGTCGCCCCACTTCCGGCGGCGGAAGATGGGGCGGGGCCGGAGCTAGCTTCCGGCTTCCGAATCGTAGCTAAAGCACATGTGTTGTGCTTTTTGGGATTATAGGGTTGTCTAGTCTTGGTTCCCAGTGTCGGTGAGGTCGTCCGACTGCAGTCCCTTCACGCCTAAAGATGAAGGCAGTAAGTATCTTTAGAAGCCCAACCCCCAGCGGTGTGTGGGGTCTCTGGATTACAAATGGCTGGTTGGTGTGGGTTTTCGGCGTGTTTTTGCCCTGTGTATGGGACCATGGCCTAGATTTGGGTTTCCTTCGGTTTCTGTATGCTGTCAGCTCCAACACCCGTAGATCGGGTTCATCCTTAGTTCCCAGTCCTCACGCATGGCTATAGGAGGCCGCAGTGAGACAACGGAGTTTGGCATCTGTAGGATGTTAGACTTTGAAGGGCTTTTCAAGTCGCGTCTTCCGAAAGCCTTATTCTACACATGAGAACTTGGCTCCTGTTGTTAATGAGTTTATGATAAGAGACATAGGACCCGAGACAAGTCCATTTACCTATAAAGAGTAAGGAGATACGGAAAGAAAAATAGAGCTGACTCTGGGATTTCGATTTATCAATGAGGGATAAGCAGTTAGAGTTGGAGTCCAAAGACCCGAAATCAGTTTTGCTTTCTTTTGCATAGAGGTTTTTGACGAGTCACATAAACTTCCTGAACTTTACCTTCATCAGTAATGTGAGGATACCAGGAATCATTACTTAACGCTGTTGGAGACATTTGTATAAAGCAGCATGTAAATGTTACTTATCATTGTTAAACACAGCTGGCATTTTGCTCAAGTGTGCTGAATTAACTCAGAATAATCATTTACAAACAAGATCAGTATTTCTTAACCTTTTTTGGGCTTTAGATTCCTTTTAGTAGTTGTGAGTTTTGGTCGAAGGTCAGACTACAGGTTGACTAACTGATGTTCTAGTGGCATTTGGTAGGATTAGTGATATAACTTGATATCAGATCTTATATCCGAGACTCATGACTGAGACCTTAAAATTGTGGGATTGGTCTGATGAAATTTATAATCAATTTTTTTACCTGGTTTTTAAAAAATTAAAATTGGGGTATGCAATGCTTCTTCTGTTCCTGTTTTCTAGAGAAGAAACAAAAAACAAGTCCCAAGCTTTCGGAAGTTGATAAAAACTAGTAAAGTCAAACTTGAAAACAAGCTAAAAAATAAGCAGTATAAACAACAAAGCACTGTCAAGAAGTATCGGAAAGAACAGAGGAAATTAAGGCAGGCTGTAAAAGATGCTGTGTCTAAGAAACCGGTTCCACTGGAGGACCCAAAGGGAAAACGACCAGGTAATTGTGAGGCATTTGTGTGTTCTAGTTGCCATTGATTTGTTCTAAAATGTTCTTCATGGAAATCGCTATGATATTGTTAAATGTTGTAGAGTTGATTTTGACTCCGTGAACCTGTGTAGGGTTGCCAAGGGAGGAGCAGCTGCTGGTGAGTTTGAACTGCTGACCTGGTTAGCTAGTGGTCCTGTACTTCTCCTACATCTCCACACCAGGACTTTCTAGTCATTAATTTCTTGCTCTGGGAGGTTCCTAAGAGTAGGGAAGAATAGTATGTTTCATCACAGTATGAGAAAACATTCCAGTATGGCATTCATTATGCAAAAGAGATAGCCTCTGCTTAGTTTGTTGCTTGAAAGCAGATCTGGACTTTTGGTTCTTGGGAAAACAGACTCAGAATAGCCAAGAAAATGAGTGTTGGGCAGCATGTTAGTGCTGTCACCTTTCCATTCACTGGCAGTTGGCTAAAGTACAAAACATTCCTTTTCTCGGGTGCTTTTTTCAGAGTTACCAAAGTGTACTTAGATTTCTAAACTTCTGGCTTCCTTTTCACTTGGAAATTTAAAGTGATATGTTAATAATTATATATGTTGGGATGTAAAAGCAAAAGAATTCTTATATGTTGGGTATCTGGGTGAAGTCTATCAAACCCTGTATAGGGTTTCTAAGCCTATAAATCTTTATGGGAGCGGAAAGCCTGGTAGATTTGAATAGCTAGCTGACCCTTCGGTTAGCAGCTCAACTTGTAACCACTACACTACCAGGGATCTTAATGGATGCCTTGTTGTTGTTGTTGTTAAGTGCTGTTGAGTCAGTTCCAACCCATAGCAGCCCTGTATAGGGTTGCTGAGGAGCAGCTGGTGAGCTTGAACTGCTAATCTTGCAGTTCAAATAGCTTTGCAGTCTGGTGCCTTAACCCACAGTTGTTGTTAAGTACAGTCACGTCAGTTCCAACTCTTAGCGTCTCTGTATAGGCTATCCAAGGAGAGGCTGGTGGGTTGGAACTGTCAACTTTGGGGTTAGTAGTCTAGTGCGTATCCTACGGTGGCACACTGGGATTCCTTAGACTTCGATAAAATCAGGGTGGAGACTAGCACAGTAATTAGAGGACCTAGGATAGAATTTAAGTAACTCTAAAAGGAGCTCTGGAGTCCTGGTATAGTGCTGTAGGATAAGTACTGAACGGCAAGGTTGGTTTGAACAGCAAAGTTCATAGTTGAAACCTACCACATACTCCTTGGAAACTTTATACGGGGTCACTATGAATTGGAACTGACTCAATGGCACTTAACAACAACTACAAAAGGAGCCCTGGTGGTGTGGTGTGTTACTCATTGGGCTGCTAACCACAGGGTTAGCAGCTTGAATCTACCAGCTGCCCAGCTGGAGAAAGAGGAAGCTTTCTGTACCCATAAAGATTTAGATTCCCAGTTTGGGGCTATAGGATAAGCACTGGACTGCTAAGTGGACAGTCAGCAGTTCAAACCCACCAACCACTCCTTGGAAACACTATTCAGGGTATCTGTGAGTTGGAACAGACTCAGCAGCACTTAACAACGACAACAAAATTTATGAAGGAATTGATGGTATGTGCAAATAGTTAACAGTCTTAGGCTCAAGATTGGAGGTTCAAGTCCCCCCAACATTGTATGCCTCAGAAGAAAGGCCTGGCAGTCTGCTTCTGGGGGGAAACCCCAGTCATTGAGAACCTCGTGGAGCACAGTGTTGCTTTGATGTGCATGGAGTTGCCATGAGTTGGAATCAACTTGACAACAACTTTAACATTTAAGAAAACGATGGAGAAGGGAGTCTGAGGCAAAACCAGAAAACCAAAAATGTTTGTCTTAGAAATCAGAAAAAAAGTGTTTCAATAAAGAAGGAAGCTCTTTATGTTCTAACACAAAACCATTTCCAAAATTAATTATTAATTTTGAAAAACCCAGAAAACAAAGCAGATACTGTGTATTGGGGCTCTCAGAAATTTGATATTATAGGCATTCATCTCTTATGTCATGCTTAAAGAATTTGTGTAAAAAAGGTTAAAAAAGGCATGTCCATGTGTATACCGTAAACAACTTTAGGAAGGATTAAGAGAAAAAAAGAAAAGAAAGAAATGCTTTCACCTACTGTCCCACTGGTAGGAATTTATTCTGTGAGCATATTTGAAAAAATTTTCCAAGAGTATACATGTCCAAGCATGTTCACTGCGCACTGTTGGTAATAGCAAAAGTATAAAAGTCATCAAAATGTCTGTTTCCGGGCAGTTGTTAAAATAAATGCTAGAACTGTTACGTCATAGGATGCTATCAAGCTGTTAAGCTGAGATGGAGCTGTGTGCTATAATATATATTTTTAGCTGCATAGTATTTCCTCCTATGAAATTAATGTTGTCTTTTTTTTTTTTTTTAATGTCTTATTGTGAATTATGTGATAGTTTACTTGGGAGAACATTAGTTTTACATTCATCTTACTGTATATCGTTTCATTGCCGTGGTTACAATCCCCTCCATGCATCATCAACCAACCAAAGGGTATATACTACAAGCCTGCCCCCGGGTCATCAGCACACAGCCCCTCTTCCTCTCTTTGTCTCAAGTCCCCAACTGCTCCATCTCTCCACGTCATCATCTCTGCCTCCATCTTAGGCATCATTGCTTCTCTGGGTAGGGTCCCACTCTCCGCTCGTCTCCCTTGATGGTCCCAGGGACCTCTGCTTCTAGACTGAAAAGTTAATC